TACTAAGCTCAAATTGTTACAGGTTTGACGTCATTTATACCTGGAGCTCTGCTCCAATGCCCACGCTAACCGAGCTGTCTGCAAAACACTTTTTTCCTTGGGACATTCTGTTACGTTAAAATCAGGGCTTTCAAAAATAGGAGTTGCAACATCTCGGAACTTCTGGTTCTCAACAGCTCAATACTGCTCTTTGTAAGGAAACATCTACTTTTATTTTAAAGATATAGTTTTGCACACAATTTAGAAAAAAAACACAACAAAACAACCAACTTGCTTGTTCAGAGTTAAATCCTACAAGCCTTTTGCAAACAAACGTTTATAATTCTGTTGTGATCCACTGGAAGGTTTTCAACACCAAACCTACTCAGATTTCTGAAGCCTTTGTTGTGCAGAGCTGACCTATTGTGTACAGCGGGTACAGTCCCACAGGTTTCTGATACATATGTGGGAGGAGAGCCAGTGATTTATTGTACCCAAACCTGTCAGGTGTATCGGTATAACCTTCCAGAAGCATTTCTCAGGAGGTTTTGAAGTCACTGCTCAGTAATCCATGTTCTCAGCCACTTCAGGTTATTTTAGGCTGAATTCTACTACACAGGTTTTAGTTTAAACATTTGTTGCAACCTATTTTTTCAAAATATCCTTTAATGAAGATGCCAGTTCAACAAGATACAGACTTTCCGGCATACATGCAAAACAAAGGTCCACTGAGTCAGAAGGTGGGCTGGGCAGGTGGGGGCTGGCTCCTCTGGTGCTCATCTGCCCAGAGTGATAGGAAGCAACCGGGATGAGTTGGGGGGGTCACACCCTGCTGAAGGCCCCCCCAACCCCAGGCAATCACATGGCACAACATGAACAATAATAATAATAAAAGTCTCTTCCCACCTGAGGACAACTGATTTCTGATGCAGCCCTTTCTATCACTGCAGCTCCCTGACTTCTAATCTAAAGAAATAACCTGAACTTACGTTGTTCATTATTTTGGGGGGAAAAAAATCTACAATCTTTAGGCAAACCTTCCAGTTTCATCCATCTCCATGACTTCCTTTCTTTCTTCGTGAAAGGCACATCACACTCCTTACAAGAATCAACTGAGATTAAGCGATGACGCAAAGAATGATGGCACAATAAATAGCGGCAAACTGGTTTGTTGAGGCAATGGTTCAAGTACCTGTTAGCAGAAACAGCTTTTCCTTCAGGACATGCAATCATTCAAACTGGCCTGCGCAGCTGGTAAGCACAAAAATGTTCTTCCACAAGAAACACCGGGCTAAGAAACCCTTTCAGAAACACGGATATTTCGGGGTAGATTTTCAGTTCCCTGAACGACAGCATCAGCAGGTCTCACCCACAGAACGTGGCACTAACAAATTAACTTTTCGAAACCTGTGGAAGTCTGCACATTTTCTACATGCAGTTTGCTGGCTTCTATTGAAAGGTCAAATTAGTTTATTGATTCAATTCGTGAATTGAATAGATTAGTTTCTACTCCTCTTAAAATCAGCCAGGCAGCCCTTGCTCCAGGCAGTCCCTCATTTTGCCAAGAGGACAGCAAACCCCGCACGAGCACTTCTCACCCTTGAGTAACTACCGCAGCCTCCGCCAGACAGCCAGACAGCCTGCAGCCTCGTTTATCGTTAACATAGGAATAGGCAGAGCCAATCTCTCTGCCCAAAGGGTGGGATTTGTGCAAAAGGGATGAGGCCGCTGGAGTTCTGCAACTGCTTCTGAAGGTGAAGGCCATGAGCTCTCTACTGCTTAGTGTTATGGAATTTTTAGACATCCATTGAAGTTCTGGAGTTATTAGCTCATTTTCACCAAATGTGAGCAGGGTATGTTGAACTAAAAAATAAAAACCAAAATCTTATTTTTTTTTCTTTCTTTATGAACATCTACCCCAAATGGACGGCAGACAGTTTTGGGGATGGCGTGTGCTTTGAGAAATATTTCTTTCAGTAGTTTTCTGGGAATTCTTAATCCACATTTGAAACTGCCACTTCAAAGAAAATATGATCATGCTTAAAACCAATATGCTTAGCGTGACTTCACAAACAACCCTGCAGCTGTAGGTATAAAAAAATTAAACGGAAATATTTAAGAGCCAAAACACACAGGATATTTAAATATTTTAAATGGGCTAGGTTTAGCCTAAAACCAGCCCCAAATTGTTTTACAAGGATGATCAGTAAGTTAAACTCCTCTTCAAGTGACGGAGCACAAGACAGGACTCTTGCTCACCATCTTTCCTCACAAGAGCTTGTGAACAAAACATCCTCTTCCCGCATTTTAGACGACGACAACACAACCTGACACTGCTCAGCGGCAGACGGGGCTGACAGTGCCCCCGACACGTGAGTGACCGGCACCTTGGCAAACCTCGTCAACTGACTTCAGAACTCCCGCTGCCTTCCCTTTCCTACACCCATCCACAAGTCCTCGTTCCTCCTAACGAGGGCACGGCCGCCACTCGCCTGCTCCTGCCAGCCCCTTGCTGCCTGACCTTTAGGTACTCACTTTTTTTGCTCACTTTTTTTGGGGGGGGGGGTTTACACTCACTACCACCAATGTTTAAAAAAGTTTTTGGTAAACAGCCTCTTAATTTCCTGCCACGTTTCCTTCTCCTTTTCTTTCTTTATTTGATTAATATAAGGAGTATTTTATGATCCTTTTGTAATGGAGGCCTAGACAAAACGATAAAATTAAATTACCCTAAATTACATTTTAAAAGCCTGGCTATGGCAGCCTCAGTGGGCTCTGCCAGCAGCATCCAGCAACAGCAGTAAACAACCGCTGGGCTACGGGCAAGGGCTACAGGTGAATCATTTTTGCTTTTTGACCAAGACTCGTGTCGTTACCAAGAAATTCTCTCTGGTTTACAAAATCAACAAGTCTCAGACTTTATCTCATAATTTAATCTTCTGCCTAGATTTTCGTTACCCTGTACATTAATACGTCCGTTATTTTTAATATTGTGATTAGACATAGCCCATTGCGTAAAAGCAGTATCCCAGACAAAAAAAAGTCACTGTCTCAGACAGAATTTGACTAAAATAAAGTTACCAACCATTAAACAGAACCATATTTTAATTTAATAATAAGGGATTTAATGCAAGCTATTGTTTAACATGTTTTATACTCCACTCTAAAAGAAATTGATGAGGTAATGCTAGCAGACAGCTTGAGAAAAGTCAAGGATACCGGGACATTCCAAAAATCTTACTGTCTCCCGAGAACATTTTTTAACTCTGACATCAACCATCTAATAAAATCTGAATCCAGCAGAGGTCTTGTGAACGCATTTGAAGTAATTCGATGCAAAATTATCTCCAAGACAGATGAAGTAGGAAAAAACTCCTAGTTTTGGCTCAAAGATTTGCAGGAGAGTAAATCTTTGGAAAGATACCTGACCTAGTAGCAGTGTAGATCAAAAAGGTAGTAACTGTCTAGTGTGATTGATACTAAGAAGAGCTAACTAATGATGGTTATAAGTAGCCACATTTCTCTCTCATTTAAAGAAAAAAACGAAAACGTTCAAAGCAACAAATTAATTTTGAAGTTTGTTACAAACCAGACACTCAGAGGATCAGGAAGTAACGAAGTCAGGATTTGTTTCACTCCTTTTTCTTTGTACTGCATTACTTCTTCAAGTTTACATATTTTAAAGGGAATTATTTCCAGACATTCCCCTCCTGAAACCGTACTAGAGGAGTGTGGCTTTTTGGATTTCATGTGAAAATAGTTATTATAGTTTGGATTAGCAAAGCATCAATCAATTTGTGGCATACAACAAATGAAAGACCTTGGAAAAGCACAAATAGCTTAGAATGTTTCACGGACTCATATTAGGTATCTAGTTTAAAAAGAAAACACAAAAAAAGAAAAACCCTCACAACAATAAGTCTTTCTGTTTAAATGTTAGAGACTCACATTTAAAACTGTAAACTTGCATCCCTGACTTTAACCTGAGCAGTGTGCTGAGCACTGGCAGGAGCTTCCACCCCCCAGAACAGAGCTGTTCCCTTGAAGAGTTAAGCACGAGCTTTTGATGAACCCGTACGATTTGATCTGGTTGCCTACATTTAACATTGCAAACAAGCAGTTTTTGAAACTTCTGCATGGTTAGAGAGGAGCTGCTGCCACCTCAGTTGCTGGATTACCAGGCAGGAAATGTTAACATCAACAACGGATTTTAAAATTACACGGAATTTCATGACTGAACAGGTAGGTGTGAGGCAAAAATCCAACACTCCATCACCAGTGTCCAATCTTTATTCAAGTCCACTGAGGCAACATGTAAGTATGTTGTTTTAACAGTCTTTTTTCCTCCCCTCAGCTGTTGTTAGCTGGGGTTTTTTGCTTACTTTTCTTATTTTAAACTGAGATTTTAACAAGAGACAGAAGAGTAATCAATTACTAAAGAACTCCATCTGAAAAAGACAAGCTTTCTCAAAATAGGAACAGTTTACCCATGAAAACTGTCACTTCTATAAAAAAACAAGTTTAAAAGAATGGACATGTAACTACACACCAAATTCCTCTGATATTTTAAGGCAGATTTAGTGCTTTAAATGTGTAATGGAGTTCAAATTGCAGAAAATATTTATTGTCATCTTGCATCACTGCAGAAATCACAACCGCTTTTTCATTTTTTGACAGAGGATCACGCTACAACATTGATGAAAAAGCCTTAAAGAAAACCCAAACCAGCCTATTTCCAGGTCAAAGTGTAGCAATCTCTAACGGGAAGAGCTCTATCCTATTTCTGGGTGATAGTCAGCTCCTGGGACTGCACACTCGGCCATCTGACCTCCAGTGCTATTATGTTTCTTGAAGTACTTGAAGCCTTTGAGGTGAGGAGTGAAGCTGCAAATAAGACCTAAATTACGTGTTGGCCGACGCTCGCACTTCGAAGCAAAGCACAATTTTCAGCACGTCTCAGACTCCTCCAGTATTTTTCCACTTAATGAGCGAAGGTATTACTCTGTTAAAGAATTACTCACCCGATTAGGGACACCATCTGCTCCACTATATGTTTGCTGAATGTTATAATAACGAAAAGTTTCTGTAGGAAGGAAAACATCAGTTAGAGAAACTTTTGATCAAAAGGGAAGCAGAGACAATGGGGTCTGACAATTTCTGTTCCTTTCCAACCAGGCAGCTTCTCCAGCACTCACACATCGTTCTCCCTTCCCTTCCCTTCTCTTTCAAGATCTTACTTTTCAATACTCTTCGAAAAGAGGGAGGAGAGAAAAGCTGTTTGCTTTATAACCCTGGTTACTCACAGACTGCATTTCTTGCAATGTTTTTGTAGCCTGCGTTCCTAACCATTCGCATCCTCCCCAAACTTAAATTCCCAGAAGCTCAAGGTCACTTTACTCCGTCAACAATGTTTTCATGGAAAAACAGTCATTGCTGTGCAGAAAACTTCACTTCCCCTCGCACAAACACATGTACTTACAGATCACAACAGTGGAAAATAATGTATCTTTTAGTACCCTAGTTCATGTGCTCGGGGAAGAAACGTAACAAAAAGAACAAAGTAAAAGCCATTGGGTACCTGTCCAAAAGACTTGGCACTGTCTCTAACACCACAGACTATTTGGAATACAGTAATTTCAACAAAAGAAACTTCTGTTGCACGTGGCTTATTCTGCAGAAAAGCCAAATGTCCAAATTTCTACCGTTCTCTTCTAACACAAGTTACAATCTTGTTAAAATAGTCTTTGCTAATTCCACTTTCGTCATTTGATGGTTTGTTCGCTTGCAAAGAGCGAGCAAGAGTGTCTGTAGATGCGTGTTGTACGCACACAAACAGTTCCCGTTGTCTCGTAAATCAGTTTAAACACGATCTAAGGAGAACAGCGTTCCCCACCCTGCAAATAAGGGATGTGACCAGAACTAGGCAAAGTGATTTTGTGGTCTGGAGGAAGAGGCCAGTTAAAAGCAGCTCCAGGACGGACGGCCGCTGCCCCGGAGTCGCTCACTTCCTGTCTAGAGGAAGATTTCTCTAAAAGCCTTTTCCATGACTCTCACATTTCCTAAATTCCAAACTGCAGCAAGATCACTACAAAATTCAAGGCTATTGCACAAGAGCATACTTGAAATCAAGCATCACAAAAAATAGGATTAATAGCTAAACTGAGGACAAAATAAGATGATTTACCAACTGTACAAGACACTGGGAAATATTTTCTCACATTTGATCTGAGTGTGGAGCACTATGAATTACATAACAAACATTCTGTTAGCTAAACGAGACAAAATAATAAAAGGAATATTACACAAATACTACTTCACTTTTCTGTGCTGCAAGAACAAATTGTGACAGTACACAGATTTAAAAGATGAACAATTCAGACTATACAAAAATAAAGGAGGAGAAAGTTGTTCTATCACAATAAGTAACAGAATTTTCTGTTTATTATTTCCTGTTTAAGGACCGTGCAAAGTAAAACAACCATTTACCAAAAGATGGGAAGTAAAAAAGGGTTGAAGATTGAAACCTCCTTTTCAGGGCAAAAGATCCATCTTTCAGCAGCTTGCTGAGGGCACTAGGCAAGTACCTCGACGTTACTAAGAGCTTCTGCTGCTTTCAGCAGTGACAAAAGATGTCCAGGCAAGACAACTATAGGCACTGCAACAGTCCTGTGGGGATGCCTGGGAAAAAGACCTGCAAGCCCCCGTTGAAAACACGGGTTCTGGTCATTATCTCATAGAGCAATCTAGCTGATGACACAGCACTGACCACACCGCCAGCAGGAAAGAATCCCCAGGACATCGAGACCTCATCCTGCCTCGGACAAAATGGTGACACATTTTAAAAGTGAGACTCGAAATTTCTGAAAGGAACCAGAGATCCAAATTTCGAAGGTCCACTAAGGCTCCGAGTTAGCAAGAAAAACCTGACAGACTCTGAAATCAGGCCCTTTCAAAATAATACAGACCGAGGACACCAAAAATTGCCAACCATGCTTGAGAGCAGTGGACAATGTGCCCAGAGACATCCCAGAGCTGCTTTCTGCAGGGCCTGAAGGAGCGGGGCTTGCTCTACGCACTCAACTGAGACAAAAGGCAGCGTTTAAAAGTGCCGCTTACCCGGCAAAGGCTAGCTGCAGCGCTCCTTGAAATGAGTATTCGTTACCAAAAAGGCAAGTTCATTATGAGTACGAAGTCCTTTCAGTCTGGTAAAACCCGTAGGTAAATAACTTGGCTAACCACCAATTTCCTGAGTGGTGCAGGCAGCGAGCTCATTAGTTTGTAGCTATAAATTATTCAGTTGCCTAAGTTTTGAGCCTCAGACGCCCAGCAGATCCTTTATTGTAAATCCTTTGCACCAAATTAATTTCCATTACTTCAGGTCAGGAAGACTCCAGAATTCATTATGAAGTAACACAGTGTAACAGTCAAAAAAAAGAAACATTAAAAAATTCTTCACCCCAGAGCCCTAAGGGAGGTGTAGTACTTGCCTGGATGTGCATTTTAATTACTGCTTTCCCAATCAAGGTTGCACCAAAGAAGGTCCAGAAGGGAACCAGAAAGTGTCCACATGTTATCCCGGCCAGGTCAAACAGAGGGTTCGGGATCTATGAAGTGCAAGGGAAAGAAGGTCAGGAATTGCAGCACACGCTGGGATGAACAGGAACACGGCAGATTTTGAAACTCTGAAAAATGAACAGTTCCCCCCTTATTCAACTTGATCCAAAACTCTTGTGTCCTAATACTTACAAAAATGTTAACGTCGCACCACATAACTTAAGTCTCTGGGATTCAGCTAGACAGTGTCCCAGACAATTCCATTCTCATGGTCCCTTCCTTACCCCTGGATTTTAAAATACAAAAAAAAAAAAACTAACAAAAAGGTTTCCGTGCGAAATGCACAGAAACCACAGTAAAGCCGTTCTGAGTGATTTATCAAATTTTCTCACTGACAAGCACATCGCTCTTGGAAGCCAGTGTTCAAAATGATCCCCAGTGATTTCCATCTGAGAAAGTACATTCAAAACTGGCATTTATAGTCATATGTATCCAGTTTAAAAGCACTGATTAGATTTTATGAAGCATATGCATTTCATTTAAAATTAAAAGGTTTTTGGTGGGTTTTTTTTTTTTGGTTAAACTGTTGGCTTGACATTTGGTATCATGACACTATCTGTAAAATATTTCTGAAATTACACCAAGAAAGTATCCAAATTCCAACCTTTCACACTTAGCCTGCAGTTCAGGGGCAGATTGTCTCAGCAAACACAGGGAGCATGTGTAATTCACAGTGTATTACTGGGCTAATATCCTGCAGTATTTGTGTTGTTTTGTTACACAACTAAATAGCGTAGATCGTGTCAGACCTTAAAAAGATTGTAACTTTGCAAGTGACTGAACAGAAATCTGAAATCTGTGGGAAATCTTATGAGGGTTATAAAAGATACTTAGTTGTTATGTGCTACACTTCACCGTTATAGACCAGCAATTCAAATTTATGAGCACCCACAACACCACCTGCAGAGGAAGAAATCTGAAACGGTCTCTAATCACGTCCCGAAACAGTCTCTAAACATGCTCCCCTTCGACTAAAATGATTCTTTACCTCTGACAGATGTCTAAAGCACAGGAGCCTAGTAAATTATTTACTTATACTGCAGCCAGATAATTCTCTTCTGAGCCAGGTCAGCTCTAGGTCTCAAGTATGTTCTTTGCCGCTTGGTTTGAGGTGTTTTGGGTGGTTTTTTTTTGTAATTTCACAGCACATTTTAATTGCTGAATTACTATCACCATAGAGGGAGCAGTATGCTTTAGGTAGGGGTAACCGTGGAGATCATCGCTCCTTTAAACATCCCACAGTAAGAAGTTACTCAACAGATCCACATTAGGATGTATTAGCAGGCCAGCGAGGTTTTATCTTTGTTTTTGAAAAAATACACAGGCACAGTTCTGAAAGCCGCCAAAAAAGCCCACAAAGACAGGAGGGCAAATCCTCACAAGTCACAGCAAGGATCTTCCAGGGCTAATTCTTGCTTTGTTCCTTCCCCAGAGCTGCCTTCGCATAGGAAATAAGCTCCAGACAATAATGGAGCTCTTTTTATTGCCACTAAACATTACATTCAGTTGACTTCCCTGGATAAACTTGTGAAGTTTTCAATTCTATTTGATTGTGTTTTAATGCAGCATTTAAAAGTCACTGCTTGACAGACAACCTGCAGTTAGGACAGTCATTACCACTTTACAAGCAAGTTCTCTCATCATAAAAAGCACACCCAGCTCAAATACCATTTTAAATCCAAAAGTAAGATCTCAATTATAAGGGAGGCAAGTAAAGAGACACCTTCTAGTGTACAGAGAAGGCAGCAACAAGCAAGAGAAGTCCTGAAACAGAGCCCTGCAGCTGCTTCGAGGCTGCTTTCCTCACCTCCCGACAGAGCCGAGCTTCCAGTGCCTCTGCCACATTGAACCTCACCCTTTTTACTGCCTCCCTCAAGTTATTGTGTAAACACATTTACAAATCCTCAAGTGTACTGTGGCGGATTCACGACTCCTCATCCCTCCCCCAACCCGGGGCAGCCTTTACAAAGCCCAAGGAGGCTGGAGCTCGGTGAAGAACAGCACAGCAGGTAGGTGAGAAGTTAAGCAAATGTTTAAGTACTACTAAGCAGGAACTACACAGACTTTACACAGTATCTCTCATGTTTACCAACTCCTTGCTCATGTTCTCCATTTAGCCACACTTCACGTTGTCCAGCTGCCTGGGTAACTCATCCCTGGCACCCACAAGCTCTTGCCCTGATTACAGAAGACGGACGGAAGAGACAGACGTCTCACAAGATGGTGGTGACTGGAGAGTCATGAGTCAGAGGCAGTGAAGGAGCAGTCTGAGAGCTTACTACGGGGTGGAAGGACTTAAAGAACAGCTTGTAACCTAATGTCTCCACTCTAAATGTTGAGACAGTTCAGCAGCTTAGTAAACAGAAGTTGTATGCCAGCAACTATAATCAGATGAATTCTCTCCAGCTAACACAGGTTACTGGCATGCGAGCAAACCGCATAGTCCCCTAAATTGCAGAGATGGCACAGAGAGGTGCTACATGGATGTGGAATTCGTATCTTACCAGCTGAGCAGCTGGCTAATGGCTCTGGTTATTCTGAAAGAAGGGGACCATAGGGGACCTACACTTCCCCGCTTCCCTGGCACCACGTTTCTGTGCGTCACGTCCCACATTCTGTGTGTGAGATGGGAGAGCAAGGCACACCATTCCTACCAGTTTTCATTAAGCTTCCAAACAGAAATTTAAACCTCAGACGGTTCCGTACTTTTCTGCTCTGGAAGAACAGCGTTATCCTACTCAAAACACTAAAATAGCATCACAGGAGATGCTTGTATCGCCTCTTGCTTAGAGAGAAAAAAATCGCTCCAAGCAGTTTGTAGTTCATACAGCCATGACTGAAACTTGCTTCCTCACTCTGCTCTCTCTGGTTCCCAACGGCCCGAAGACATCTCCTCAGCAGACTCAGGAGAATTCCTGTGGATGGATATCCTGACTGGCATTTATACGGGTAGTTTTCCACTCTTCAATCTGCACATATCTTTGGATGTGAAGATGTCGAGCACTGTAAGCTGCAGTGTATAAACACCTGAAGAAATTATCACACGGTTCCAGCAGAATCTACAGGTAATAATACAGCTCTGGCTGTCTTGCCAGCTAATCATCTGGGCTAGGAAGGTCCCAGCAGGGTAACTGTCAGCGAGCACATGACCTGATCACGCACTAAGAGCGGCGTGAGAAGACACGGCCTCAACTTCAAACGCAGGGAGCATCCCTGGTCTGAAGCAGAGAAACTTCTTGAATTTGTCTTAGTTCAATTCTTCTTCACTGTGACCATCCTTTTGCATCCTTTAATGAACTGACCCGTTTTTATCAGATTTCCCCACACCACACTGAATTACAGAACTGCTAGCTGTGCTTTGAGGCAGAATTCCCCGTGGTTGGTACTAATTTCAGGCTGGAGTTCCTCCACACTATTGTACTTCTAGTACCACAACCGTCCTAAGCACCACAGAGAACACTGAACTAGCAAGGAAGGCAAGAGGATCCACACGGACACAGATAAAACCAAGTCCTGGTTCACAGCATTAATTTCATTGCAACTCATTCAACCTGCAATTTGTGATCATAAACCCCTCTGTTACTGAAATGAACTTACTGAAGCGCAAGCCAGAATTCCGAAGAACCCAACCTTCTGCACCAGGTTCTGGACAGCCAGCTTGGCCCGGGAAGCAAAATCCTGCAAACAAGAAAACAAAGCATTCATAAGGCAAACCCCAAACCGAATGTACCTTGAAATGTGTGCGATTTCCATACCCTCCATGCTTTGGGATTTCCTAGCTAGTGACGGGGAGAAATTTTAAACCAAAATGGCCAGTTTGAAACTCCAGGTTTAGAGGGAAGAGAGAAAAATTCACAATGTTCAGTGTGAAAATCTGACCAGCCCCATGTATTGAATCTTGTTTTTCAAACCCCTGCAAGTGGCACCCAGTTCACCCTACCATGGAAACGAGTTTTCTAGTATTTATTTCCCCATATTTTTGAAATGCCAGTGCTCCTTATAACTTATTCCTTAACCAGGCAAAAGGGAATTAATTCCTTCAATGCCACTTCCAATGTTAAAATGGTACTTTCTCAAAATAATTCCATTCTATCCTTAGATCTTTTGTCTCAAACCCAGGTTCTTAATCAAAACAGCTAATTCCAGGTACCCACTACAACAGACTTACAAAGTTCATTAAATCCACAGAGTCGAATCTAAAATACTTTAAAAGCAGCAGAGTTGACAGACCATGTAACATCTGAGCCAGGCTAAGAACAAGCTGCTTTTAGATTGTGATCCCACCTTTCAAACATACTCATGAGGCTCAAAGTTTACCAAATAGTCAGTAAAAATATTCTCACAAGCAATTTATTTGAATGTAAGAAGTGAATTTACATGAGAACATAATTCTTCTGTGGCAAAACTGTCCAAAAAGGGAAAACCAGGGTCAGTATTATCTATTCAGGCTTGGCAACAGTAGTTATAGAAAGCTGAGTATCTTTGGTAACAGCAAAATGTAAAAAGTAATTACTAGTTCTTTTTTAAAAAGCCTACAAACAGACCAAAAAAAAAGAGCTGATTTTCTAGTATTAATACAATATTCACTGATTTACATTTTGCACAAAACTATCATATAAATTTCACAAGGAAATAGCTGTAATCAATAATGTTACTCTACATTCTACACTTCAGTAGTGTAGAAGGGGAATACACTTCAATAGTGATGTGTGGGATTCAGAAAATAATTAATTACTTATGAAAGTAACTACATGAAAAAAATTATTCAATTTTAACTTCTTTACAATTCTATCAAGACCTTCAGTACTACAAACCAATGCAAGTAAATTACAATTACTTGACAATGTTCTTGCACATTATTTAAATTCTGAACTACAGAACTGACAATTTTCTGTCTCAGGCTATAAAAATACCATCTGTGATTTGGCCATTTACTATCTTTTTACACTCCCTTTTTCAAGTTGTAACCTTTCTCCATTACAGTGCTTTAAAAATAGTTAAATTCTCAAATTAAAAAAAATAAATCTTACTGAAATCATAATCATTTTACTTATTGTACTTCTTGTTTGAAAAAATAACTCAAGTTAAAATAAATGCTTCAACTTAAAGAAAAATGCCAAATAAATGAGATTTCCTACATCTCACAGTGGGACATTTTTAACCACAGGAGAATATAAAAACCTTTAGAATATTCTGTAAGGGCTGAATTTGCTGGCTTTCACCAGGAGTAACACCTTGGGACTGTGACTGTGACTGTCTTATTGCAAAATGGAATAGATTAAATATTCACTTTTTATTGAATATTTGTTCCTGATATTTTTAACTTCTAGGATACATACAGTGTGCATGAGGGACTAAACCCAGTGAGGCTGATACCAAACATTTGAACTTACGTTAGCAGAACTCAGTCTACAACATGCCTGCATTATATGTCATTTTTTTGGTGTGTGTTTTCCTGTTAAAAGAGTGCATTTTGACCCAAATTCTTACCAAGAACAAAATGTGATAATTTACTGGTGACCCAAGCCCAAAAATCTTGCAACACCGAGGGCAGTTCCTTCTCAACCTCCAAATTCCCTCGTCATTATTCCCCGAGTTAAATAAAACCGAAAGGAGGTGCCAGCCGGTGCCGAGCAGGGGGTGGGCACCAGCACGGACCCTCGGTCCCACCGAGGATGCTTTGGGACACGAAGGTGCCCGGAGGCTCTCCCGCCCAGCGTCACCACCCAGCGCCCGGCCAGGGGGGAAAAGCAGCAACGCCAGGTCGATCCTGAACCACAGGGGCAGAAATCCCTCTGCAGAACTTCCCTACTAATGAATTTCAACCTGCAAACGGTGCTAAAACGTAACGGTAGAGCTCTTCTTTCAAAAGGTGAACTGAAAAAGGAGCACCTTGGGCAGGAATTTCCTCAGATGCTTCCCCCTGTGCTCTACAACAAAGCTGAACGTGACCATGATATTTTCAGTTCCTATTTTGCTCCCCGTTTCGCAATGCTCATGGGGTTAGAACAAGATTTTCACTTTTATAAGCCAATAAAGATTTTTTTCTTTTTGCACAGCTCCATAAATCTCATATAAAGTATCTTTAAAATGAAAGATGACAATTCAATTATTTGAATAGGTCCAGTATATATTCCAATGGAAGTTGTTTTCATTTGAATTTTAAAATATTTACCCATGATCTTGTTGCTAATACACCACTGCTTTTATTTTCACTGGCTGTAATTGGAAACAAACTCTCTAGCAAGTGACCTATAAACTAACGCTTGCAGCACAGCTGCTTTAATAAAATATATTATTATAATTGTGTATAAATTGGCTGTATTAACTTAGTGTAAGCACACTACACCACTCTTGAACCAATTTCCTAAGAATAAGCAGCTTCCCTCACCCACACTTCTAGACTGCTGCAAAATTCAAAGCTGCCTTAGAACTTATTTTTTCCCTCCAGCTAAAAATACATATATATACATAAAAACGTTAAAAAAGTGTAACGTTTGTTTCTCTGGAAAAAAAAAAAAAAGCTCAAACACTAAAACCAACATTGGAACAATTCTTCTCATCTTACTAATTAATAACTTTGGTTTTTTAAAGTTATTACTTATCTTTTAAACATTTATTGCCTATTACAGATTTTTTTTTTCAATTCATTGCCTATTACAAAGTACTTCATGGAAAGCACAGCTATAGTTCTAAAAATTTCATTCAAGAACTTCTAATTTGTCTTCCTTTCTCAAATTTCCTAAATAAGCCAAAAGACATTAATTAAGGAATTTTTTTCCCTATTTTTAATGATCTAAAGTAATCACACCTACAAATAATTTCCATGGTAATATACACATCAGGGTTGTAACAAACCCATGCATTTGTAGTCTCAACATTTATTTAAATGAAAACAAGTTTAAAAATACTTGTTTGGTTGCTTCCTTAAACTTCCTTTGTCAAATCTTTGCAACATCTGCAATAACCCCCCCCCCCAAACCTTAAAAGTTTCATTTCTCAGCAAATACAACCATCAGTTTCACCACTTTTACCTATTTCACAATATAATTTTTCTGTTACAAAGCTGGCACAGGGAACAATCTTTTCTCTGCTTTTTTTAAGCGTTTGGAATAAAAGCCAAACAACTACTTACTGCTTTTTAAAAACACAATTAATAAAAAAGGCACAAAAGTTCAGCTACTTACAGGCAAAACATTTTCACCCAAACTTAGGGAACCTAGACTGGACTCGACTCTCAGCTAATGTGATTCACTCCCTAGAACATTTCAGGATCCTTTAGCTCACTATGTCCTTTTCAAAGATGATTTGTTTTTTGGGTTTGGAAATAGATTTCCTGTGACTGCTACAACGCAGGCAAAGGAAGGTTAAATGATTAAGCATTACTTCACTGGGTTAATCATCAGATCTCAAGAACTGGAATGGAAATAAGAGGCACGAAAAGGTCAGTGCTGAAATCCTGATTCACAACTCTCAGCTCCACGCCTGCCTCCAGCAAAATGGCACGTTTTGTCGATACCAGCATTGTGCTGCTACGTGGGGCAAAAAGCAAAAAAAACAACCCTCCCCAGTCTAAAGGGATAGTGAAGAGAAATTCCATGTTTACCACAACGTTCCTCTTTTAAAGATGCATTAGGGCACAGCTTCGAGTGGGACCTGGCATGGGTCATCTACCCCTACAAAAAAGCCTTCCTTCCTGGAAGAGAGAATGGGCAATCTTAACTCCCAGGCTCTGTCCCGTCCCTCTGTTTTACTAGTTTCTGTCCAGAATTTAAACCTCTAGGCACTCACCCTAGGGCCAGGAAACCCCCAGTGTCCTTGTGTAACTTGCACATGAAGAAGCGGACAATCTTTCAAGATCCAAGTACAATTTGTGTTAATGTTATAATATGTCCTTACTAGAAACAGTTTAATTATCCCAATCATAACCCGAAGAGGAGAACATCTTTTTCCCCCAAAGACAATGTCTGAAGCTACCATCTCAGATTATTAAAATTATGAATTCCTTAACACAGAAAAAGATGCCCACAAAGACAGTGCTCCTTTTTATGTAAAAATCTGAGTTATGTTAAAAATGAGCTGCACAATATTTTGGTTCTTCGGGCTTTCTATTACAACACAATGGAATCAAACACAACTTATGGGAAAATGACCATTTGTGGTTAGGCAACGAGTTGTAGAATTTCAGAGGACTGGGAGGAATTATTAACTTATTGGAATAACGTATTAACTGTGGAAGAGCAGTTTTGAAGCAGTCAGATAGTTACCTACAGGCTGCAAGGTTACAATACACACCCGAGCTAAGAAAACTGTCAGTCAGCAACGTTTATCGATCAACACGAGAAGAGCGATCACGACACAGTTGTCGTCGTCCATCTGCAAATAGTTCCTTACTCAGTGACCAGAGAAACCATTTCGTACCTCTCTTGCAAGACATCAAAGGTAACAGATCTCATGAGTAAGGTTCCAGTAAGTTGCAAGGAGGAATATTTTGGTGGTGGTTCACGGCTGTGCTGATCTCCCGCTCTGTCAGCCACGAGGACTTTCAACATCTGACCGTGTATAGAAAGGGCTGTGGCCCTGGATCTTGGTTCTAGCTTTCTCAAAAATACTCCCAACTTAACACAAGTAAGGGGAAAGCTAAAAGGAGATATTTCCATCTTGATGTCTGGAGATAA